GACCTTCTATTCATGTTGGAGGCGGATGGACGGGCGACCAGACATGTGCAGAGGGGCTACCTGAAGGATCCCAGAGAGGATCGCGATCGAAACTGACTGGGTCATAAATGTTTGTAATCTTATTTTCTTATGCCCCTAATTTTTGTTGGCCCATGGGAGCCCTGTGGCTCCGGGCACCAGGAGTTCTTGCATTCTCTGCGTGTGTATGATGGCGTTGGTTTATGGGGGTTGTCAGGTTGTCAGGCCATGATCTTTAATTCCACTCAACTACAGGTTGAGCTTACATCTTAAGAGGATAGAGGAACCAGGGCCTTTTTCATACCTCGGTAAATTACTCTCGTCGCTCTTGGATAGTTTCCTCTAGCGCAAGGCAATAAATGAGACTTGCTTTGGATCATATTAATTCTCTACTGTCATATTCTATGTGTTTGGTTCTCCCGATTATAAACATCCAAGTGAAGATCGCTATTTAAATCTTGTAGTTCTCACAGCCACACGCTAGCCAGTCTAAATAGTAAATAGCTAGTTAACTAGGCGCATATCAAATTACTAAATTTGGTTGGCGTTAAAGATGTCCAGTTGAGGCAATTTAGAGCCGAGGCAGTCAAAGGTACGGAATACCCTGCCAATCATTGGATATCAATTCATAGATATGTTGTGTTATTAGCATTGGTGTCTACCTAGGCTGTTTGGATTGCCTCACTTTTATATATCTCTTGGGAACTTAATCCAGTAACTGTAACCTAGGTAATGACAAGGCAACCTGGACATAAATATGTAAGGTCTCATTTCCTATAGTCTCTATAAAACCCCTTCTCCCCGGTCGATTTTTTTCACTCTTATATGAAACCATTAGCCCATCGAAGACTAACTGATTAGCGTCTAGTTCTAATATGCCTGTACGCAATTGGCTTGCGTATTTCCCGATTTAGATGCTGACTCAGTGAGAATGTCAGGTGGTAACTATACGGGCGATTTCCTGGATCTCCTAGGGGCTGTAATGTTTGATATACTCTTCGATACTGGTATTCTTGGTATTCTGAATATTCTTGACCGCAGATGTTCACCGCGCCTTGTGGATTGGATTCGGCTAAGCCAGGGCTTGGACGCGATGCTCCATTTCCGGTGGCGGGCCCTGGGGGGGCCCCTCAAGGCCCATCTAGGACTTTAGATCCTTTTAATTACATTCATGGCTGTATTGGAATGAGAAAGTAATATCCGCCTTTCTCCCTAGAGGCGCATGGGCCTCTGGGTTGAGGTTTTTCTGTGTATACTATAGGGAATAGGCCGAACATCGTATAACATGGGTATTTAGGTATTTAACGCTTGAGAAACTTGATCAAGAAGTAAAAAGAACAGGACAATCATAAATTAGCCTGAATTAGCTGTATTCCAGGCGGCGAGTGTAATTCTATAGAAGATAATACGAATTAAGAGGAGCAAAATCCCAAATCTCAAATCTCAAATCCCAAGTTGATCGGCAACGGGTCCCAACTCTCCGACTCTTCCATCATCACTGACCTTTGCCTCCAGGCCCTTCCCTCCCCACCTCGTTTACCACAGATGTCGCCAAGTTCCCCAATGCTCTTTGCTTCACCTCCTTGTCTTGAAATTGTCGAGGAAATGCAACGCATTTGAAACTGTCTTTCCCATCCTCCCACCGCCTCAGCCCGTCATCTTCACGTCTCCAGAGATCTCCCTCCGGACACGCTTGTCAACTCCAATCTCTGTTGGTTTGGTTCTTCTCTGGCTGGCTAGTCCTGCCTTGAGATCCTCGTATCCACCCAGGAAGCCTGACGCGCGACATCAACTAGCGGTCACAAATTAGACCAGTCTTCTCTCCACAACCTTCATACCGTTCGTGTGACGGGATACCTTCGTGCACAATGTCCACTCCGTCTACTGCCACTGCAACGCATCCTTCTCATCATCAGGCTTACGGATATCCTCACCATCCTTCGTACCAACCGAATACCTCGTACCCGACTTCGACCACGGCCGCAGGGACTCGCCTTGCGAATCCTTACGCCATTTCCGTCCCCTCCCCGACAACGACCACCCTTCCCTACACCCAACCGCCGAGAATTCCCCCCGCGACAACAACCCCGTCTGCTATGACCAATCAGAGTGGTTCCAGTGTGGCTCCCTCTGTTGGAGGTCGAAGAAAGAAACCAGATTGGACCGAGTTCTACAAGAATGGACTTCCCAAGGAAGTCATTGTGATCGATGACAGTCCTGGTCCAGAGCCATCCAATGGTGCCGCCGCGCCTCCTGCAAATACTTCTGCCAGACCACCTCCTGCGGCTGCTCAGCCCGCTGGGAAGAGGCGGCGAACGGGGATTGAAACCGCCTATGACCTGGGCCACTATGACCGCCCGTCATTCTCAATCAATCCCCAACATTACGGCGAGGAATCCTCTGCCACGTCTTTATCGACCGATCGAACCGCATCTTTACACACAACAGCTCCAACTTCGCTTGGTTCGCAGGGCAGTTCGGGGGCGAGCAATGGTGTATACTATGAGGATGGCTCTGTCGGTCAAAAGCGGAAACGCGCCACTCGGAAATCGACTCGCGACGAGCAGAAGCGACGAGAGTTGGAGACCGCAGGCGATGCTTTCCTGAGTTATGTCCCACCTCCGAAGCCGCCAATCAAGGCAAAGGATGTTCCTGTGCCAGTCGTTCGCGATGTGAGTGTTTTATCTACCGTGTCTTTTGTGCAGGTCCACTGACAGAATTTGCTCGATCAGTACACCAGTTCCCAGATCAAGAAGTTTGACGATGACGATGGCCATTACATTGTCACACCCGACACGCCATTGACAGATCGATGTAAGTAAAAGTATCTCTGGCATCTTGTCGACCATGCTAACCTTTCTCGAGATTCTGTGATCAAACTTCTAGGTCAAGGTACATTCGGCAAAGTGGTCGAAGCCTATGACAAGCAGCGCAAGGCTCGCTGTGCAGTCAAAATCATACGATCGATCCAAAAGTATCGTGACGCATCTCGAATCGAGCTGCGAGTCTTGTCAACTCTGGCTTCGAACGACAAAAGCAACCGCAACAAATGCATCCACCTTCGAGACTGCTTCGATTTCCGGAATCACATTTGCATTGTCACCGATCTACTAGGACAAAGCGTCTTTGATTTCCTCAAGGGGAATGGCTTTGTGCCATTCCCGAGCAGTCAGATCCAGCAGTTTGCCCGGCAGCTGTTCACAAGTGTTGCCTGTATGTTCTCCAACCCTTCTAAATCTGCATTTCAGACCACTGACCTATTAGTCCTTCATGACCTAAACCTTATCCATACCGACCTCAAACCCGAAAACATCCTCCTCGTCAGCAACGCCTACCAAACCTTCACTTACAACCGCACTATCCCTTCCTCTTCCCATGCCACGGCTCGCAACGCGCGACAGCGCCGCGTTCTCCTCGATGGTGAAATCCGACTCATCGACTTCGGTTCGGCGACCTTCGATGACGAATACCATTCATCTGTCGTCTCTACCCGTCACTACCGGGCTCCTGAAATCATATTGAACCTGGGTTGGAGCTTCCCGTGTGACATCTGGAGTATTGGGTGTATCCTGGTGGAATTCTTCACCGGAGATGCCCTGTTCCAGACGCATGACAACCTTGAACACCTGGCGATGATGGAGTCCGTCATTGGCAATCGAATCGACACTGCTTTGGTGAAGAAAGTCATGGCGGGCCGAGGTGGTAGTATCAACTCTGCTGCTAAGTAAATAGCCCTGCCCCTTCAATCTTTCTGTGATTGGGACTAACTTTACCAGGTACTTCAATCGAAACAAGATCGACTATCCCAACGCTGAAACGACCCGAGCCTCGCGGAAGTATGTCCGCGCGATGAAGTCTTTGACAGTAAGTGTCCCCCATATCTACCTGTGGAGCTTTCTTTTGACTGATTTCGTCTATAGGAGTTCATCCCTACCAACACGCCATTCAACCGTTCATTCTTGGATTTGCTGCAACAAATCTTTGTATACGATCCCAAGAGCCGGATCACCGCAAAGGAGGCATTGAAGCACCCGTGGTTCAAGGAGACACTTGTCGACGATGGCACAGAGGCTTACCGGATCGGCCAAGGATTGCATCGCCAAGCACGCACTTAGGCCTCGATCCACACAGCTACAGTAGCCAATATTCGGCTTATTCAACGGCATCAGAAGGGAATTCACCGGCGTGAACAGGATCCAGCTACGGATGGAAGGCTCATATCTTGAGGGTAATCTTTTTCTCTATCGCGAATGGGACGGAATGGTGTTTGCACTTCGGAAAATCATGATCACGATGCTTTCTTTCTTCTCTTTATTATTTTATTTTCGGTCCCTGGGAGGGTTCCCCTCAATACCTGCAGGTGTCACCTCATGCAGGCGTCGGCTGCCTTCGTGACACCACATGGCAGGGGTATTGAACCCTTGGCCCTTGAGCAACCGGAATCGCTGCATTTATCCTTGAGGGACCTATCCTCTGCTGCTATCCGGTTTTACTTTATTTGCTTTATCTATCTTTCTATCCATTCTTAAAGGCGCCGGTTACATGTTATTCTGCTTTTCCCGTCCTGTTTATGGAATCCGGCTTCGGGAGCCCTGGGAGGGTCTAGGCTGAGTCCGGATGATTATACCATTTGATTGTTTGTGGCGTCTATTTGTTAACCGTATGGTGTGTGTATATATGTGTTTCTTTCGTTTCAATTTTCTAATTCTTCTCAGATCTGTATATGACTGTGCGTTTCGTCTCGGTTTCTTATACATCGGAGGATAACCCGAGCCATGTGCGCCAGGGGTTCTACATGATGGCAAGCTCACTTGCCAATTGACATTGCCGATTTAGGGCAAATATGAATTACGAATACTTGACTCCATCAATGAAACTGCAGATCCATATATGGCGTGCGTGAATTGGCCCACTAGATCAACATCCGGGGAACTCCACCAATTCTCAATTCCTCAATTCCCCTCTATCCAACACTCACCACCATGGACTCCCCATGGCAAGCAGAAGAGCTAACAATCCCCAAATTCCACGAACTACTCCGTAAAGACCCCTCCAATGGCCCAAGGCTAGTAAAGAAATACCTCTCAGCAATCACCCAGCACAACGGGACCCTCAAAGCCCTCATCAGCATAAACAGCACAGCCCTAGAAACCGCTCTCCAAAAAACCACCACAACACTCACCTACAACCAAACCAACAACCCTTTCCCAGCCCTCCACAGCATCCCCCTAATCCTAAAAGACAACTACAGCACAACCGACCAACCAACAAGCGCCGGCGTGCTCGCCCTGCAAAACCTAAAAACAACCACCGACAGCGCCGTCGTCGCGCACCTCCGCGCCGCAGGCGCAATAATCCTCGCCAAAGCTAACCTCCACGAATTCGCCCTCCAAGGAATAACCCGCTCCTCGCTCGGCGGGCAAACCCTGAACCCGCACGACAAGACCCGCACCCCGGGCGGATCCTCTGGCGGGACCGCCGCGGCGCTAGCGGCGGGCTTCGGGCTGGTCGGGTGCGGGACCGACACGATGAACTCGCTGCGCTCGCCGGCGTCCGCGTGTGGGGTTGTGGGGTTCAGGCCTTCGACGGGGAGGGTCTCGTGTGTGGGGATTGTGCCTGTTTCGCGGACGCAGGATGCGGCGGGGCCGATGGCGGGGTGTGTTGGGGATGTGAGGATTTTGTATGGGGTTATGAAGGGGCCGGATGGGGATGGTATATCCTCTTTGGGGGTAGATGAAGGGTTACCTCGGAGGGAGGATCGACAGGTTCGGATTGGAATCTTGGAGGCTTATTTCCAGCCTGAAATCTGTACAGATGAATCGGAATCGGAAGCGGAAGCGGAGTATCTCGCCGAGAACGAGATCGTGCAGGATGTTATCCGCTCGAGTTTGGATTCGATACAGGAACACGATGCGGATATCATCTTCGTGCCTATCGCCCCGTCCAGTCATCCGGACTGGAGTCCTGAAACCCTGTTCGCGAATGGCGATACACAGGCTTTCGAGTTCAAGCACTACCTAGACGAGTTCCTGCAGTCGCCGCTGGTTTCGTCGATACCGCACCGATCTCTGGAATCCATTGCCCAGAGCGGCGAGTTCGATCCTCATGCCGTGACGCATGTTTTCTCTGCGGCATTGGAAGATCCAGAGAGGTTTTCGCTGACGAGCGAGGCGTACCGAAGTCGACTGGAGTATATTGCTGCTCTCAAAGAGTCTGTGGCGGAATGTTTTGATAGATACGATATCGACGCGCTGGTGTATCCGCACCAGAGACGGCTTCCTGTGAAGATTGGTGCGAAGAAGCAGTCTGGGCGGAATGGTGTTTTGGCTGCGTTGACGGGGAGGCCTGCTATTTGTATTCCCGGTAGGTGATTATATATATTCGGTGCTTGGTGTTGGACTAATATGGGAATACAGCTGGGCGGAGTCCTAAAACTGCGTCTGCTGCGCTTGGTGTTCCAGTTGGGTTGGAGCTGATAGGCCGGCGTTGGGGAGATGATGAATTGCTTGATATTGCGGAGCGAGTTGAGGGGATTATTAAGGGCAGAGTGGTACCTGTTATTCATTGAATGGTCTATATGGACAACAGTAATGACATTTATAAACGGGGAACAGGTATATATATTTTCTGACCTATGCAAGGATATGTGATATGCACGCTGCGAAACACCAAAGATCAAAACTTACATTCCGCGATTGAACTCCACCATGCCTAGGTCACCACCACGACCGTGGAACTCCTCCTCAAGGCTCTTAACATTGATAGCCTGGCGAGCGGGGAACGCAGCGAGCGCAAGCGGCAGCGCGAAGAGCGAAGTACCCAGAATCAGCGCTAAGTTAATAGGCAGAACCATACGGGGACGGGCACGCAGCCAGTCCGTCTTCTCGAGACGAACGAGGATAAGCGGCGGTAGGACCATGATAGGCGTAGCGTTCAGGACACGGGAGATGGCCGTCTCACCGACGGCAAGGGTAGCCGCCTTCTTGCTCTTGCCGATGCTTTGGACTGGCTCTGCGTGCTCACCGAGCTCGCGCTTAGCACGTTCGGCCTCTGACAGGACAGGGTAGATGTCAATGCCATGGCGGATCTCATTGCCGCGCATGAGGAAGACGTTCAGGGCGGAGGCGGAGGCGACAGCGGCGAAGGGGACGAGGCGGGAGAGAATGAGGCGGGTATTTGGGGAGATGCTCTTGAGACGGGGGACAAGGGCGTTCAGACCGACTGCGACGGAGCAAGAGGCCGAGACGGCCAGGAGGTATGACTTGCCAATTTGCGACATGGAGAGGGGGGTAGATTTGTTGGCGTTTGCGTTGTTGACGGCGACATTGAGGGATTGGTTACCGATTTGCCAGAGGACGGTTCCGGTTGTCTGTATTGTCAGTACGTTGTTCATATGTTGCATATGCAGAGGTGCTTACCTTCAATCCTGGAGTCAGCATGCCTGCAGTGACGACCAAGTTCGAGAGCACGTAGCACGACATGCGGAAAGGCAAGAAGACGGGCATTCCAGTATCTGATCGGTCATAAGTTAGCCAATGGCTATTGCCTGACATTGAACGAGCCCATACCAGGGTGCAATGTCGCATCAACGATCTTCTTCGCCGACCACAACTCCGGTGTCATGGCCGGGATGCGGTTCTGCTTGTAAGAAGCAATCAGGTTCTTGGCGTTTTCAAGCCCGGCGGACGAAACAAACATAGTCCTAACATAATTGGTATGATCAGTATATGCTGGGGATCTCTCAATGCCACTAATATCTTCTATTTGAACTTACCGAGGATCAGAAAGGTCGGCGGCATGGCGCACGCGACCCCAATAGGTCTTCAGGTCATATGGCGACGCAGGCAGGTCCCGACTGCCAGGGAGAGAGGCAGACATTGGAGCGAGTGAACGGCGAAGCGCGAATGACTGGAATGAGACCAAAGAGTGTGAATGGCGCGCAAAAAAAGAAAGAGCGCAATATGACTCCGCGCGGAGAAAAGTGCTTTTTTGATAAAAAGGCGGTGAGCCGATAAGTAAGAATTGACCAATCAGACCGTAGCCCGATCTATACAATTCACCGGCCCGGGGTACCTGATAGGGCTTTTTGTTAGGGTCTACTGTAAACACGGCGAGGTTCAGTCAACTAGGAGGTCAAGCGGAGTAAAATTGAGAAACTGACTGAGAAAGAGGGATCGATGGGCTTTTATGAAATTAAATAAGTCGGGCCTTCCTGGGGTTAGACCCCGGGCCGGCTCCTCTCCCGAGACCGGTTAGCTACTCCGATATGCGGGGGGGGGGGGGGGGGGGGGTTTTTTTTTTTTAAAAAAAAAAAAATAGGTGGGAGGAATTAAAAATTATATATTTTTTAGTTTTGAGTCTATTTGTGGGTTTAATAAAAATTGGAATAAT